ATGCTCACATACGCTACTCTGCAAAGGAAGACAATGTTTGAGGTGAAATGAAGAGTCTGGAGGGAGGAGCCAGATAACCACGAAGACTTCGGGTCCTAATGGAGAAACTTCCAGCATTTCTAGGGAGAGGTCGTTCCTATGTACCTTTGGTTTCTACACACCCTGACCTGGAGTGTGGAAGATGCTTATGGTTCAGGTGTTTCCCCACCAACTGAAGCCTCCTACTCCTCCTGTTGTTTGCCTTCATTTATCCCCATAGCAACATTGTAAACAGAAAGGAGCTATTCAGATACCATTAAGGTTTGTCTTTGTTTGTTTGTTTTTGAGATGTCACCTTTAGCCCGGAAACTGTCTGCATTACACGTATTTAAAGCAGGCTCTCATGACAAGACAGGCTCCTTTTCCTTTACAGGCAGTTGTATTGAGAGGAGCTATACTCAAAGGCTCTAGTCCAGGAAGTCCACCACACAACCTCATACACATCTGGAGCCGACTTTGATGACAGTCTAGATTTAGATCTTTGACAAGAGAAAAGGATTTGGGAGTTATGGTCCAGTGAGATGGCTCAGTGGGTGTACTGGATAGTTTTATGTTACTAGACACAAGCTGAAGTTGACTGAAAGGAGGGACCCTGAATTAAGAAAATGTCTCCATAAGATCTGTTTGTAGGCAAGCCTGTATGGCATTTTCTTAATTAATGATTACTGCTGACGGTGGTAGAGCAGTCCACTGCGGGTGGTGCTGTCCCTGGCTGGTGGTCATGGGTTCAGTAAGAAAGCAGGCTGAGCAGGCTGTCAGGAGCAAGCTTGGAAGCGGTACACCTTCATGGCCTCAGCTTAAATTGTTGCCTCCAGGTTCCTGCTCTGTTTGAGTTTCTGTCCTGACTTCCTTCAATGATGGACCATGTGTTTGGATGCATAAGCCAAATAAATTTTTTCCTCTCCTGACTTGCTTTTGTTCATGGTATTTCATTTATAGCAATAGTAAAACTGAGACAGTGGGTAAAGGCACCTGCAAGGCTGATGACTTGAATTTGATCCTGGAACCCATGGTGGAGAGAGAGAGAGAGAGAGAGAGAGAGAGAGAGAGAGAGAG